AAGAAATTTTTATATTTCTTTTTTGTGTTTTTTTCTCCTTTTGCTCTTTGAGGTGTTGTTATTGCTTCCTTGAATTATAATGTAAGTAGTAAAAAGAATTATTCGCTATTTTATATTCATTCATGCCTACTTGCTTTGTGTTTAAATATGAACATATGGACATTGATATTTTTGTATGTAATTTCGGGGGCAAAAGATATCAAAATTTTATTTGCAGCATTGAAACAATTTTTCATTATGATGGCATTTGAAGAAAGAATTATAATTTTTTTCGTAATTAATTATCGCATTTACATAATATTTATACATATTAAATCTTAGCAAGAATACATATGTATATCATATGTAAATCATAAGAATACATATGTATATAAAATATTTATCAATAATTGGTAAAATATTTTTTAAAAATAGTAAGCTTTAGCTTTACCAAATGTATTACAATAAAATTATATAGAAATCAATTTAAGATGAATAAAACAATCTAAAATTAAACCTTCAGTTTACATGGCAGTTTAAATAATTAACGCTATTTCGCAAATATATGCGCTTCACAGATACTGAATAAGTATAAACGGAACATCAGTACAAGGGGTACAAGTGTATCGACTATTAGCTTTTGCAAGCGGATAATTGCCGAGAAATGGAGATTTATTTAAATAACTGCATAATCATTTATAGTTACTAGATCGACATACATGAAAGGTTATCGTTAATAAAATAGAAGTGACAATTTTCATGTTACTAGTTGCGCACTAATTTCCAAACCACCTTTGAGGTATAATGCATGGCGCGTTTTTTTTTACATGGTGTCCCCAGGAGGCCTAGTCCATGATAACGAAGAAATTTTGTTTAAAAAAAATAATATAGAAAAGAGATTTTTTTTACTATTTCAAATTTTTTTTTATTATTTGTTCTCTATTTCGACTATAGTTTATAATCGTTCTCAAGAATTTGAAGAACTTTAGTTTTTTATGTTAATATACATTAGTATTTTTGACAAAAAGATTTTTTACATATAAATGATAAAGAAATATATTATCACACATAAATAATTGGAAAATAGAATGGTAAAAAAGAAGAAAGAAAACAACCTGTAGAAGATTTTCCGAAAATACTCCTAAACCTGCCTAAAATCCTACCACAACAAGGCCCAATGACAAAACGACAACAAACAACGCTCAGGAATAGAGGAATACCACCACCAATAAGAGAACACATTTGTTAGTTCTTGCCGTTATTAGATATATATATGATACATGATTTTTTATTGTTTATATGTATAAATTGCTTTGTTTAAAATATTATTGTATATTAACACAAAAAATTATAAATTGATCAATATCCCGTGAATAACCATAAAAAATAGCGAAAGTTTCTACGTAATAAATATTAATATTCACATTTTTATACATATTTATTAACGCATGTTTATTAATAACTATCTTAAAATTAATTCACTTAAACTATGTATTTTGAACAAAATAAATAAATAAAGTAAGTAGTTATGGTAATAAATAAATTATAAATAGATGTTATTAAGCCTGTATTAGGGCAAATTTGTAATATAAGGTCATATAACAATTTATGCCTTAGTCGATTTCACTTTCTCTACCATCCATATACAGTGCTTACGAAGTAATATAAGCAGAATAAAGTCCAGCAATTCAATTCGATGAAGTCTGCAGGCCCCAATAAACCAACTCGGACTTGAAAGAATGCATTGTTCCCTCATTACTTTTCTAATTTCAAAAGTTTCCGGCTTTTGTTTAAACATCTTCTTAAATATGGACACATGCTTGCAGCTGACATTAACAAATTCTTCAGTGGGTGCAACAAGTTTACCGAAATCTGTGGATTTGTTATAATTTTTATAAAATAGAAATAGTTCTGTTGGTGCTGTCAAAAACTCATTCGATTTTCTGATGCTTTTATTACATGATGAACAACTTAATTTCGGTAAAACTCGAGATGCGACGTAACCCAAAAAATATCGAAGTGATGGCAATTCACTGTCTAAAACGTCATGGTTCTCGGATATGTACGACATCACAGTATTTTGAATGGAAATTTCATCCTGATTGCCCGAATTGTCGTTTGTTTCGTGAACTATTAAAGAAACTTCATTACTCGGTGATATTTCTTCATCTACAACCGACTGAAACACATTATCATCCTCCACAGTTTCGCAATTTCCCACTGTTGTGGATAATAAAATTTTACGCGTTATAACTTTCGCCAGCATATAATTAATTTCTGATACGGATGGATTTTTGTTATAACCGCCTCTCTGCCGTAATATTGAAAATGTGTTTTCAAGTTTGTCTTGACAAAGAAAATTTGTCATTATAAAGAATATTTCACTATTGCTTCGAAAAATTTCCTCCGCAAGCTGAACAACTCCATTAAGCGTGATTTTAAAGCCTGTCAGGAAATGAACAGTTTTCTTTGGATCGGTAAACTTAACGGAATTGAAATAAAGGATGAATTCCTTTATATAGTTTATTACAATTCCGTCGACCTGCAACGCACAAGAGTATGGATTTTTGGAATACAGGGTACAGGAGTTCATGCAGTCAAATATTTTATCAATTTTTTCAATAAAATTGGCAGTTGCTACTGCCACTTCATTGCTGACATTGTTAAAACCTCCAGTTCCCACAATGGTTCTTATTGCGGCTTGCACTGTCTTACTAAATAATTGTGTCGCAAACTTAACCCTCATTTTTTCAAAATTTTTTGGTTCTATATGTTGCCTACTTAGTTTAGGACACATTTTTGTAGTTGCGTATCTTTCTCGCTCCCACAGTTCATTCAGTACTTTAAAGCTCACAATGCCGTCTGCCGTTGTTAGGTCACATGTCATAAGCCCATTACGGAGACATTTAATCAAGTGCGGAAAATCATACATGCAAAATATTTTGTTGTCTTCGAAATCAAAGAATGGCTTTTCAGGTACAATTTCAAAGGTAGAGAATGTTTTCCTATTTGCTGAACCTTGGTCGCAAGAAATAACTCTTACAATAGTACCAAGCTCATGTTTGAGGAGCCGCAAATTTTCCAATATTATATTACTTAAGCAGTCTCCATCCATGCCATTTTCAGTAATAAAATAATTTAATATAAATGACCAATTTGAAAACATTCCCTTCACAATGAACAGGCATATGCTTTTACCAATTTTATCAGTTCTGAAAAAGTCCACATCTTCAAAACCATCAATTTGGTCCAATACCGAGTTATACCGTAGCTCTGGCCTTAATTTCATTTCGTCAACAATAAGTATTGCATTCTCTCGGTCAATCTGCCTAAGCATGCTTATTTTTTTCGCAAGCATATGGAAACATTCATTTTTAAAACCAGGTTGCAAATTCTTGATGGGCGTCCAATTTATAATAGAATTTTCATGGGGTAACGTAAGGTTTAGTTTGTTCCTCATGAATAAATATGCTGAACGAGACTTTAGGTACAAATTAAGAGCCAGTTCTCTTGACGCTTCATCGTACTCCCTATTTCGAGATCCTACAAGCATCTTGGACAACGCTTTTGACTCGCGACTAATACTGTTATTAGCCTCAATTGCTTTAACAAGTGGATATTTATTTTTAACTCTTTGTTGCAATATTTTTATTTTCTTTTTTAAATTTGCATTTTCACAAGCGCTTCTGTAGAATTTCTTTCTATAAAATTCGGCGCATTTACTTTTTGCACAATTGCAACAGGATTTGGTCGTCTCAACACTTTCGTCGTAATTAGGAATTATTTGGGTTTGTGAAAAGTCATAGTCGTCCTCTTCATTTACCCCGTCTAAGAAATAAATCGGTACCGCTGCTCTTTTAAGAAATTTACTCCCAACATCTGAGGCAGGAAAATGCTTATCACAAATTTTCATTTTGTTTTGATACTTACTCAGAGGAATATTACATTTTTCTCGCCAAATTTGACCCAATGCGGTATCGTACGCCGGAAAAGAAAAAAATTTTACACCTTCGTCAAAACGGCGACTACGTTTGCAAGAAGAAATGCAGCAAATGTCTTTATTTTTCTTTGAAATTACGGACATAATTCTTTATTTAAAATAATTAGATATATTGAATTCAAATAACTAAATATAAATATTTATGCTAATATATATGAAAGTTTATTTAAATTTTAATAATAAGTTATATCAGAAAAAGAACACAACGAGATCGTAAGCACAAAACAATTGATTTACTATTTCGTTATTATTTAGTTATTGCATTTTCATATTTTGTATTATTACTCTTCTAAAAGAGTAATTAATACTTTATTCTCATTAATTCCCATAAAAGGCCGTGTACGAGTTGGAGTAAATTAACGTAAAGTAAACTGAAATTTCCTAGGGATTTTTTGCGCTGCACTTATTTTAAAAGTTTTCAAATTTATTTATTTTTTTATTATACATTTTATAAAAAGTTATCTTAAAGAAAGTAACACCTAATTTACCTAATTTACCCTACTCGAAATTCTGGTAAATACCAACATTCGCTGCCATACGGACATAATTTACTATTTTCCTCAATTTACCATCAATTACTTGAACTCGCACATGGTCAATTACATACAATTATCTTATTTTAGCTAATACTAATATAACATACATATAACTGTTATTACACCTGATTAAAACAAAAAATTGAAATTGGTTTCATTCGCTTTAAATGTTTCTAAAATAAGATCAAAAAATATTCATATTCTTCCAAATAAAAGTACATATGTTTATAAATATACATTTATACACATACATATATATATGTAGGTCAGTAAACTTCCAAACAAGTAGGGATGATTGTCTTATTTGCATTATGAAGTGATATTAAATGCATGCAATTTTACGTGCTGCTTGCTGGTGCCAAGCATTAATTGCAAAAACAAATAATTACACCAAAAACTAATTTGACTCTTTTCTTGTACTGCCTGCCTTCGTAAACAAGCAAATCTGTTTTTTGTTTTCATTTTTGTCCTTCATTCATCAATAGTAAAATTTTAAGAAAGAACAAGCATAAGCGCGGCCGATCTAGCAGCAGCGCAAAAAGAAGTAATATCTTCACTCCGCCCTCCCGTGCCTGTTGCTGAAAATTTAAAAATTGAGTCATTGTGACTCTATAATATTTTTACTCAATGGTTGCACCAAAGTACTTTTCAATGAAAAGTAAACTATGAAAAGAAAAGTGAAATATTTGACAAAAAACTGGTTTCTTTGCAGTTTCTGTTGCACCAACACTTTTTATTTTGCGCTTTGCAAAAGTAAACTGCAAAACTTTTCAAAAAAACTGCAAATGATTAATTCACTTTGCAAATTTTGCAAAGTGATTTCTTTCAATGCGTAAAATGAAAGAAATCATTAATAAATAAATAAAAATAGTTTTAAAAAAATAGAAATAGAAAATTAGTTTAAACAAATATTATTGCTGTTTTTGAAATAAATTTAGTTGCAATAATTAAAGGGATATATTACCGGACAATACTTTTAAATTGTGAATTAAAGAGTTCAGTTTCTAAAAAAAATTTACAATACATTTAATATAAATATTTTATGTGAATTATTGTTTAAGCATGAACACTTATTTATTATAATAATCAGTTTATTATTATTATAGGTCTGTTATCGTTCAAATTCTCCGAATTATGAACTAAGAAAAAACATGGGTATAAAATATCCTATAATAGCTAACATTGTAACATTTTTAAATATCTAATTATCCGTATCTAATTATGATAATAAAAATGTATTTCTAAAGACAATAGAAGAAAAAATCACAAGTGCCTCGACTTCCGTCGTTTTTTGAACCTTGTTTGAAATGTAATTAAAAATAATATAGTTCACTAAAATTAGTGATAACAGACAACACATTATTTTAACGTTGATAGTAAAATTAGTTAAGTTAGTTTTAAGGTAATTTTGTATAAATTAAGAAAAATGTTCTAAATAAAATCAATAATTTAGGCCCTTTATGCGTAGGTTTCTTTTGTATTAGGATAATACACAGCGACAAGTAAACAACACTTTAATAACTTATAATATTTTAAAATTAAATAATAATGACAGTTTTTCAACTAAATTTTTATATAAAAGCAACTTATTATATTTGTTAACTTTGTTTTTCAATATAATTGTTGTTAAAACAACTCATACTCATACTCCTTATATATAAATTCTTTTTCTATAACTTTTCAAACAGCAAAATAAATTAAAAGCATAAAAATTGTCTCTATGGATATACACAACTTCTTTATCTACGATTCAATGTCAATAAAAGAAATCATATACAAAAATTTTGTGTTTTGTATTAATATATAACATATAATTGTACTAAAATTATACAAATATTACAAATTGTAATAATATAAATTATTAAAATAAAATATTATTTTAAAAACTTTTTTTTTGAACAAAAATTAAACTCATAAGTACATACTATGCATAAATCATGTACTCATAGCATCAAAATATCAAACAAACAAAAAACAAGCATACATACAGAATCGAAATGCTTTCAAAAACCAATACAAAATGAAAGTGATCTAATTTTTTGGTGCAACGCTTTGCTTTGCATTTTATGCAAAGACTTTGCAGTGAAATTTTTATTTGCAAAGTGCAAAGTAAATTATGTTAAGTCTTTGGTGCAACGCTTTTCACTTTTACTTTGCAAAAAAAAGTCACTCATAAGTTTTGCAAAGTGAAAAGTGAAAAGTGTTGGTGCAACAGGGCCCAGATGATATGGAAATTATCACTGAATATGAAGCTAAGACACTTGGTCTTACTTGGTATACAAAATCCGACAGATTTGGTTACAACGTCAAAATAACTTATGACAACCATCATTACACAAAACGACTAATGTTGTCTGACATATCAAAGTTATTTGATCCACTTGGGTTTTTGACGCCTGTCATCATTCGAGGAAAGATGTTTTTGCAACAACTTTGGCGTACTGGACAATCACGCTTAGAATTATATGCAGCATTGCTAGCAGCGAAACTTCTACGCAAGGTTAAAGGAACATTTAAGTGTCAACCATCACGCTGTATTTTGTAGACTGATAATAGAACCACACTGTGGTGGACTAGAAACTGAAGCAGTTTGTGGCAAACAGAGTGTCACAAATTCAGTCAATGACAAATATTGAAGACTACTCAGTTATCAACAGAGGCAATATTTGGACGATATGCTACTCTTGACAAACTACTTGTAGCCGTGGCGCAATGCCTGTGTTTTATTCATACGTATTCGAAGAAAGATGCTTCGATATGAGAGTTTCTCTACTTTATACGGTCCTAAAAAAAAAAACGATTATGCTGCTTTACGGAAAGGCAATTTAATTAGCAAATCAAGTAAACTTTTTATATTGAACCCAAAGCTTGATTCCGATGAAATTATGTGTCTAAATGGACGACAGCAAAATGCAAATATTCCTTCAGGTAAACAATGTCCAATGATATTACTAAAACGTTATAGTTTTACTAGGTTGATTATCAAGCCTATCGACGGCAAGCACAAATTATGGGTAACTTACCTACAGCTTGGTGTAATATATCACAACCATTCATACCCACTGGCGTGGATTATGCTGGTCCATTTAACGTGAGAGCAATAAAAGGTAGAGGCCATCGCACTTACAAGGGGTATGTGGTTCTATTTATATGTTTTATTACGCGAGCTATTCGTTTGGAGCTTGTGAGTAATATGACATCTGAAACATTATAAGCAGCTTTAAACATTTTTAGCAGCCGATTTGTATCAGTCCGTGGCATATGCTCAGACTTGTACAGCGATCGTGGTGCATCATTTGTCTGTGCTGATGATTTAATGAAAGATGAAATTAAATTATTTAAAAAACAAATTGAAGATGGGTCTGTGTCGAAAAATTGTCGAACTCGCGGCCGCTTACGGCTCTATCTGACGACCCCAAGGACTTATCAGCGTTGACACCAGAACATTTTTTGATTGGACGAGCACTGTCTGCTGTACCTGAATCTAGTTTGTTAAATACAGAGATTGGTGTACCATTCCAATGGAAAATGTAAAGCCAAATGTGTTACGACTTTTGGCGCCGTTGGTCCGAAGAACATTTTTGTTTTGTTTTTTGATTTTTATTTTGCTTTGTAACGACCCTTTCTTGCGGTCGTTGCTTATTTGCTGAGGTATGCTCAGTCTCACCAGCGTCGTCACAATAAATTTATAGATTGTGACCAAAATATTCAAAGTGTTGTGATTGTATTTCAATTTCTTTATTTCAGAATTTATAAATTTTAAATTTATATTTAATATAGTAAAACAAATTAACTTTATGTTTCAAAAAAAAAATAAAATAAATATATAGTTATATATAAACAAAATTTGAATATGTAGTTTTTTTGTTTCGAAAGGGTAAAAATTTAATAATTAAATAAAGATGTCTTTTGAGACGTTCCAGTGCTTGAATGTCCTTGATAGATCTTCCTCCTTCAAGCTCCTAGTTTTGTATTCTTCTGACTTTAAAAAGTGCGGGATTTATGGATGGAATTATTCTGGATCTCGTAGAATTACTTTATATACTGTTGGCATGAGACCACCTGTCGTATTCAAGTATTGTTCCACAACTATACCTTCGTTTGGAGATTCTCGTTATAGTCGGTCTCCTTTGCGTATTACAGAGAATTACTTTCGACACAGTCGCCGTGATACCACCTGTCGTGTCTCAGTATTTCCTAGTAACTATTCCTTCCTTAGGATATTTTTATATAAAATATCCTTATAAATATATTAATCTTGGAAATTATTTTGAACACAGTCGACGTGAAACCACCTGTCGTGCCTTAATAGTTATTATGCCTTAATTTCGATATTTCTTTCATAAAAAATATCGCTATGTATTTTAATTTTAGTAACTATTTTGGACACAGTCGACGTGAAACCACCTGTCGTATCTTAATAGTTATTATGCCTTGATTTCGATATTTCTTTCATATAAAATATCGCTATGTATTTTAATTTTAGTAACTATTTTGGACACAGTCGACGTGAAACCACCTGTCGTGCCTTAATAGTTATTATGCCTTAATTTCGATATTTCTTTCATATAAAATATCGGTATGTATTTTAATTTTAGTAACTATTTTGGACACAGTCGACGTGAAACCACCTGTCGTGTCTTAATAGTTATTATGCCTTAATTTCGATATTTCTTTCATATAAAATATCGGTATGTATTTTAATTTTAGTAACTATTTTGGACACAGTCGACGTGAAACCACCTGTCGTGCTTTAATAGTTATTATACCTTGATTTCGATATATATTTCATATAAAATGTCGCTATGTATTTCAATTTTAGTAACTATTTTGGACACAGTCGACGTGAAACCACCTGTCGTGTCTTAATAGTTATTATGCCTTTATTTCGATATTTCTTTTGTTTGTTTTCTTCTTTGGTAAGTTAGTGCATTTTTAGTGAGATTTATTAAATTCTAAATTTCTAATACTTTCAGGTATTTAGGTGGAAGCATGTAGGAGGAAAATTCAGTAAAGAATTTCCATCCTTACATTTCCCGCTTTCTTCGGGAAAGAGAAAAAAATTATCGTTCTATGGAACAATATGTACGGCTGCTTCGCCACGTTTACTAATCCTCACCAGATATATCACGTTGTTCACTGTGCGCCGAAATGTTTATTGCGTTTCTGCTTTGATTTTACCTCTCGTATCTCGGCTTCCAGTTCTGCCGGCCATGTGGTGCATTTAATTTTTGTCTGCGCTTATTGCGTTTTGTTGTAATATTGACGATGTATCCATCATTGCTTCCATTTGCTGCCAATTACAGTCCAGTTCGATGATGTCTTCAATTATATCATGGCATGGTGTTTTTATCGGTCCCCAGAGAAGCGATGGTTTACCGTTTTCTTGCTGTGTTGTGCTGTAGGTAATTTCGACATTGCTTACTTGGACATCTTCTAATTGAACTGCCGGGCCTGATTTTGAACGCCAACCACTGGCTTTGAGGAGTGTTGCACGATCTGTTGGCGTAATTTTTGGTATGACTTTAGTGCTTTTCTTAATGTGTGTTTTTTTTTAGGTTGTTAGGTTGCTTTCTGATATCTTTGGACTTGCCCATTACTTTGTGTATTTCACTTTTGACTCGTACTTTGTGCTCAACCGTGGGTATATATCTTGTTTGTGGCCTCTGTTTTTGTAGCTGCTCGAAACGTTGCCGGAACTTTATAAGTGATGCGTCGAATTTTGTTGATTGTTGACTCATGCTGGTGGTACGTATTACGACTTCTAACTGATTGTAGTATTAGAGAACATTCCCTTTTATACTTGATGGTATATCGGTATTGTATTGTTTTACCGTCTAATTTTGAATCCGTTAATGTCATTATCCTTTAAAAGTTTAAATGTTTATAGTACACCCTACAGTTAGTATTTTGAACATTGACATATATATGTAAGTATTTATTTCGAAATTCTTTTTTGATTTCCATAATATATTTTTAAATCTGAAATGTGGGCTGTTATTATTTTGTCCGTTCCGACTGCTTTCAGGCTAACTATAACTGGAGATATGAATGTTTTTACTTGGTAAGGGCCTTCGAATTTTAGAGCTAATTTTGCTGAAAAATCAGTTGCCGCTTTAGACAGTGGATGCTGTTTGACTAGTACTAATTGATCGATCTTAGGTTTCCACCTCCTTCGTTTTTGGTTATAATACTTAGCTTGGGTAGTGGCTGCTGCTTGTAAATTTTGTCGAACTTTGTGAAAAATCTCTTGAAGTTTATCTGCTCTCCTCAGGGGTGTTGTAGTTGTAGTACCAGTACCTATTGTACATTCATCAAAAAGTGTCGCAGGTAATCTTGGCTCTCGCCCTTGTACTAGATACGCTGGGCTGTATTTGGTTGAATCTGATACTGACGTGTTGAAAGCCAAGGTTACTTCTGGTAACATTTCGTCCCAACGTCTGTGTTCTCCTTGTGTCATCTGGGCTATCATTGTTTTAATGGTCCGATTGGCACGTTCTGTGGGGTTTTCTTGAGGAGTATACGGTGCTGTAAGTTGATGTTTAATACCCATTTTGGACAACCATTCCTTAAATAGGTTACTGGTGAATTGGGGGCCATTATCGGTGATAATATGTTTCGGAGCTCCAAATCTACATAATATTCTTTCTCTGATGGCTTTTATTGTATTCTCGCTGATAGCTCTTCGCATAGGGATCAGTTCCACCCATTTGGAAAATTTATCCAATATAACGTGTAGCATTGTGTTACTACTTCTTGACCGTGGTAATGGACCTACAAAGTCAGCAGTGATGGTGGTGAAAGGTTCTTCGGCTATTGTAGTAAGCATCATTCCAGCTGGTTTATTCATCATAGGTTTATATTTTTGACATAAGTCACATCGTTTAACGTAATTAGCGATATCCTTGGCCATCCCAAGCCAGTAATAATGATTCTGCACTCGTTTGATAGTTTTCCTTATGCCAAAATGTCCAGCATGTCTTTCATTATGGTTTTCTTCTATTACGCGTTGATGTTGTTCTTCGGGAACACATAATCTCCACTTGCTTTCAGTTTGTTCAGTCTGAGTTATTGGAAGATATTTTTCACTTGGTCTCTCACGAGTGTTCTGAAACTTTCTTCGATACCATTTTCTCGGTTCCTTGTTTTCTAGAGTGGTTATTATTTGATTGATATCTCCTACTGGTTGTGTTGACAGAGTGTCTGCCACTACGTTGTGTTTGCCGCGCCGATATTGTATATCAAACTGGAATTGTTGAAGTTCTAATGCCCAACGTGCAATGCGACCAGTGGGATTCTCGATGGAGTTGAACCATTTCAGTGCCAAATGGTCTGTGATAATTGTAAAATAATAGCCCTCCAGATATGCCTTCATTTTTCGGATTGCCTATACTATGGCCAAACATTCCTTCTCTGTTGCTGAGTAGTTGATTTCAGGTGTGGTAAGATGCCGACTAGCATAGGCTATGACTTTTTCTATACCCTCGAAATTCTGTGTAAGGACGGCCCCTATTCCGATATTGCTGGCATCTGTTTGCAGATAGAAGCGTTGATTAAAATTAGGGCATGCTAGCACAGGTGCTTCTGTGAGACGTTTTTTTATTTCGAGTAAGGCTCCTTGCTGTTTGTTATCTTACTTCCAATGTTTCCCCTTCTTCAACATCGTAGTCAGTGGATGAGTAATTTTTGCAAATCGGCGATACCAAGACGCGATCCCAAGGAATCGTCTTATTTGTCTGATGTTGGCAGGAGGTTGTAAGTCGTGTATAGCTGCAACTTTGTCTGGGTCCGTATGAATTCCCTGTGTACTGACTAAGTGCCCCAGATATTTAGTTTCTGTTCGGAAAAATTCGCTTTTATCCACATTTATCCGGAGGTTGGCTGCTTTCAAGCTACTCAGTACTTCTTTTAAATTTTCTAGATGGTGCTCGAATGATGTACCAGTTACAATGATGTCATCTAAGTACGCGAAAGCGTATAGTTCAAGATCTGCTCCTATCACTTGATCGAGGGCTCTTTGAAACGTCGCTGGTGCTGAATGGAGACCAAAAGGCAACACTCGCCATTGGAACAAACCTCTTCCGAGCACTGTAAACGCCATGTATTGCTTGCTATTTTCATCCATTGGGATCTACCAATAACCGTCCTTGAGACCTATACTGCTAATATACTTAGCATTACGCAATCGGTCACGAATGTGATGGATTCGGGGCAATGGGTATGCATCAGGTATAGAGTGAGCATTCAACTGCCGGTAGTCTACGCAAAATCTCCACTCGCCATTCTTTTTGCGGACTAACACTATTGGTGCACTGTATGGACTTCGAGACGGTTCGATGCATCCTTTACTTAGCAGTTCAAAGTTACACTTTGTAGGTGATATTAAGTTTAGAATTTTTGTTTATCAGCCAGATTAGTTCTTGTTGTTTGAGTTTAATTTAGGTTACTTTAGTTTCTATATGCTTTTTCCACGTAAGCCTTCGGTCGAGGTGCATTCCCAAGTATTTTGTGTCATTGCATTGTGGTATTATTTTTCCATTAATACGAAGGGCAGGACAGGTATCTCGTCGTAGAGTGAAGGTTATATGTACACATTTCGATTCATTAACTATTATTCTCCAGAGATCGAACCATTTTTGCAGTTTGTTGAGGTGGTCTTGAAGTGATATTGTGGCTGTGAATGGGTCGTCGCTATGTCTGCTGTGAAAATCAGATACAGCAAGAGGACCAGTACGCGCCCTTGGAGTACACCGGCCATAATGGGGAAGGCATTGGAGACAAAAGAATTTTGTTTTATAATAAATCGTCTATTTGAGAGGTAGTTTTTGATAACTGATGATGTTTGCGTTGGAGGCAACTGTAAAATAAAATTTTCTATGTTCTATGCGATTTCTTTCTTTGAGTAATCTCTGAAATGCTCTCGTCAGATTCTTGAGTTGTGTTTTAATTCGAGGAGATTTTTGCTGTTGCCATTAGCGTCGTACAAGGATTGCAATTTCGTTCGTTGTATGGTAGTTTATAGGTTTGTGGGGTATTGGGAGTGGGAGTGGAGGATATGTTAAGGTCGAGTTTTGATATCACGTTCATCAGGGATTTTCCTTTTGATGATATAACTCTTGAGCCTCAGAATGCATGTTTGGCATTGCAGTCGCCGGCCGCTATGAACTTGGGTCTTTGTGAAATATTCTTCGAATTGGAGTTCCGTTATTTTATACCTTGGTGGACAATAAATTGAGGTTATAGTCATACCTTTTATGTACTCTTCTAGGCATATGCTTATCGTCAGCATATATTCTGCTTCAAGGTTGTGACTCGGGAAGTGTTTAATGTTATTTTTTATGAGGACAGCATATCCGCCTCTTGCTCGTCCACTTATGTGTTTCCAATCGTAGAGTATGTAGCCAGGTATCTTAAAGTAGCTTTTCTCGTTAAAATGGGTTTCAGAGATAAGCATGACGTCAATTTGATGTCATTGTAAAAACAATACAAGTTCGTTTTTATGTTAGCTTAAGCCTTTAGCATTCGAGAAACAAATTTTGATTGCATTCATGGTTTGGATAGGATTGAAAGCAGGATATTTTGATTTTGAATCATTCCCTGCATCATATTTTGCTTGGTGTTCATAAATTGTGTCATATTTTCCATAAACAGTCGGATCATGTTTTCGATATTTGGAGATGACTTAGTAGAGCTTTTATTTTGGACGGTTCTTGAGACAGTAAATCCTCAATTAGTAGTACACTGCACAGGATTTTTACGCTTGTGCGGTTCTTCTACTAATATTTTTCTGTGGAGTAGAAATTGTTGGGAATAAATTGTGTGAGCCTCGTTCGATCTGAGTTTCTTTCGTTCTGGTTCAAGTTATATTACTACATTAAAAGCAGTGTCGAAACTTTATTACGGTTTTTAAAGTTGTACACAGATTTGGTTTTAAATCCTTCTTCAACAAGTGCTTCTTTAATTTCTGCTGTGTTCAAATCTGGTTCTACTCCTCTTATAACCACTGTTAATCCTTTGGCAGTTTTTAATTGATATGTGTAAAAGTTTTTACCATTTTTTTCGAGGTTATTTACAACTGTTCTGTAATGTTTTTCTTCGCTGATCGAAATTTTTGTTTCATCCACATTTCCTTTACGAAGTGGCACAACATGGAATGAATACTTGCCAATACTTTGTGTTAGGGAGTATATAAGACCATTTGAGTTACACGCAGAAATATAGGTGGCGGTTTCTGGATATCATCTTCTAAGTTTTCTTTTTATGATTTGTACATATTTATCCATGCCACGGACTTTGGTGAATCAGGATGATTTGTTATGTTACTATTCTTTTGCAATATATTTGGCAATATGTTAACATGTTGCGCTGCATTATTTGGTTGCGCTGATGCTGTGTTATTTTTCAAAGTTGGCTGGACTTTGCGGCCAGCTTAATTGCTTGGAAGAAGTTTCACTTACCGAGTATGAGCGTTGCCTTTGGGATTGGTTTCTCTAGCATTGCTGTTTGGTACGTGGTTGGCTTCTCAGAACTACCATTTGCTATTGAGTAGCATATGGGTGAGTGGTTTGTGCCTCCGCTATACGAGGGCGGTGATCTATTAATTATCATATTGTGGTTGGTAGCACGGAATTCAGCTGAGCAGCCAACTGTCTGTGAATAATTTTTTTTTTTGTGTTGTGAAAAAGAAACTTTTACTTTTTAGTTATTTAATTATAAACCTTTAAAGTTCTATTTTAAATGGCCCGAAAAATATAATATATATTAAAGAAATATAAATATGTATTAATAATAAATATAATATAAATTTATAATATAATGTAATATAAATTTTAATTTAACTTAAGAATTTATCAATCAATAAATTTTTGAGTCGTCCTTTCGGGTATTTATTTATTTAGCATAAGTTTGTTATTAATTTCACAATTACACAATTATTCAAATTTGCGACTTATAATTTGTTTAGTTATTCTACCCGTTTGCCACACTCTTCTTGTAAATTTGTTTTTGAGTGTGTGTGATTTGGAAATAAGTAAACAAATTCGGAAACGAAGTTAAAATTCACTTTATTTACAAAAAGAAATAAATAAAATAATATTTTATTTTATCGGGCACTATTATTTTTATTAATCTTGTTTAAGAGTCACTGTCTCGATTATTTGTGATGAGTTTAATATCACTTTTTAAGTTTTTCACTTAGAAAACAATAAAGGTTACGGAGTGATTTTTTTGCGTGCCAAGTACTTTTTTTTTTGTGAATATTCACAAGAATATTTAACACAAATACATGTGAAAAACAAATGAAATACAAGACAAAGAAATGTCGCAGCCGGTCAACTGGTCCTAATTCGAGATGAACGATTGCCTCCAAGCTCCTGGGTGCTTAGTCGCATTATTCAAGTACATCCAGGCATGGACGGTGCTTTTCTTGTTGTAACCATCCAAATACAATCAATCATGGTGAAACGGCCAATTACGAAGATTTCTGTTTTAGCAATCGACATTGAAGCACATCCTGAAGCAGGCGAGTAAGATAGACGACAGATCCGGTCGTATCTCCCCGTCCAGGTTAAAACAATGTTTAAAATTACATATTTTAATCTGGCAACCACTGCGTGTGGGTTTCTTTTATTTGTTGGCAAGTTTTCTTTAGTGATCTTCTTCTTTTCTTTCTTTAGTGATCAAGAGCGGTGATCGGTCGGGTTTTCGTGGCGTGCAGATAATTTGTATTTCCATTTATTTATTTATTAAGTAAATAAGTAAATATTATTATGAATTGTTAATTAAAGTATTGAATGAAATTTTGATGTGTGAGCTAAAACAAACTATATGAAATGAAAAAAAAAAAAATATGAAAAAAAATTGGCTTCGTTTGAGCAAAAAATAATAGACTTGTCTGATAATTTGACTAAAAATGGCAACGAATTAGGTGCTGAATTGGTAAAAACCATCAAAAATAATGAAATTCAAAGCGAAACGTACGCCGCGAAATTAAAGATGAAAAACAATCCAAATATTCCAATAACGCTAAAACCTAAAAATAAGCAATTAAGTGAAGCAACTAAAAATGATTTAAAAACTAAAATAAATCCATCAGAGCTTAATGTTAAAATTTGTGGTGTTCATTCTAAACATGATGGAAGGGTAACAATAAAATGTGTAACCTCAAAAGAGAGAGAAATTCTTGCAAAAGAAATTAAAAAGAAATTAAGTAAGAACTATGAAATTGAGACACCTGCTATGCGAAACCCTAAAATCCTTATTACCGGCATGAGTGAGCGTTTGGAAAATGATAAATTTCTCCAAGCAATAAGAAATCAAAACAATATGGAGATTAAATATATTAAAGTCTTGAAAATATATGAGTCGTTCAAAAATAAAAACATTTTTAACGCGTTAGTTGAATTAGATGGCATAGCTTTCAAGCAAGTTATGTGTGTTCGTAGACTTAATATTGGCTGGGAACGATGCATAGTGTACGAAAACTTGAATTTAATGCAATGCTACAAGTGCTGGGGTTTTAACCATAAAGCGTCTGTTTGTAAGGAAAGTGTGCATGTATGTGCAAAATGCGGTGAAGCTGGCCACATATACAAAGAATGTAAAAGCAGCGTTCTAAGATGTGTAAACTGTATCAAAGCCAAGAAAAATCTAAATCTGAATGATCTCGACATAGACCATGATTCCAGGGACCTAAAATGTAAAACCTTACAAAGGAAACTTAGACTGGAAGCTGAAATGACTGATTATCAACTTTGATGGACCACAAAACTTTGTTAAATATATTTAGTAAACAAAATTGCGGTCTTAATGTGGTACATTTTAATGCTAGAAGCCTAACTGATCTAAAATTTGACTACATTAGGACTGTTTTTGAAAACTCCGATGTTGATATCATATGCGTTTCGGAAACTTGGTTTAATAGCGACATCAGTAGCTTATTTCTGTCAATGAACAATTATATTTTATACCGCCATGATAGGAGGCAAAGGAGAGGAGGCGGGGTGGCAATTTATTGCAAGTCTCATTTAAAAAGTAATTTGGTATGTATATCTGGTGAGTCTGACATTGAATTTGTTGTTATAAGCATCAATGTTGGTTTTCAGAAAATATTGGTGGGGTGCGTGTATAATTCACACAAACGCTTTAGTTGCGATCCATTTTTTGATTCACTGCAACCCATTGCGCTTAATTTCGACTTCTTAGCAGTACTTGGTGATTTCAATAATGATCTTCTCTCAAACTGTGGTAATGTTTGCCGTTTAAATGATCTTATTGCCATGTCGGGCTCAAATATTGTCAATAGGACCATACCTACTAGATATGCCAATAATGTTAAGCCTAGTCTTCTGGACATAATTGCAGTTTCTGATATAAGCAAATTGTTGTTGTTTGAACAGATTTCATTTGTTTCAGATCATGACCTACTATTTATTACGCTTGACTTCAAGAAAACTAAAAAATCCATCTCAACTAGATTTTCTTTTTGGGATTATAAGTCAATTGATTCAGTGGGATTATTTTGTGAACTTAATTCAACTGAATGGAATGAATGTTGGTCTGGTATTTCAGTTGATCAAAAATTAGATGCATTTAATAAAAAATTGCTTAGCCTTCGTCATCGGTATGTACCTTTTCGTACTATTACCGTCAATAATGTTTCTTGCCCATGGTTTAGTACTACAATAAAACGTTTTATTAATTTAAGAAATAGAAAATATGCAGTTTGGAAAAAGTACCCTACGGAATATAACTGGATGAAGTTTAGAATTGCTAGAAATGTAGCTGCTAGAACTGTTTTTAAGGCTAAGTCAGATTACTATGAATCTAAGCTTGGTGGTACTAAATCTACTAAAACCCTTTGGAATAATATTAAAATGCTTGGGGTTACAAGAAAAAGTAAAAATATATGCAATATGGACCCAAATGCTCTAAATAACTTCTTTGTTTCTTCTGTAGAGGATAATGGTAGCTCTTCTTCAGTATTCTTTGATATGAATATTGTTGACGCTAATGAAGGCTTTAGTTTTTACTGCGTCAGTGAAGATATTGTTTTTAAGAATTTAATGAATATTAAGTCTAATGCTGTTGGGCTAGATGAAATTCCTCTTAAATTCATAAAGCTCATTTTACCATTTATAATATCTCCATTAACTCATATTATAAACTATTGCATTACTACCTCTACATTTCCAGTGGCATGGAAACAAACTAAAGTTATTCCAACTGAGAAAAAAGTTAATGCTTCATTAGTTTCTGACTATCGACCTATCAGTATTCTTTCTTCTCTCTCCAAAGTGTGTGAGGCTATAATGTCTGAACAGATTCGTAATCATCTAAACGTTTTTCATCTGCTATCTCCTTATCAATCTGGTTTCAGAAAAGGTCATAGTTGTGCGTCTGCCTTGCTGAAAATCCTTGAAGATATTAGATTAAGTTATGATAGGGATTTGGTTACTTACTTATGCCTTCTAGATTTTTCAAAAGCATTTGATCGAGTTGATCACGCGTTGCTCTGTAAAAAGCTCATAAATAAGTTCCACTTCTCCAGTTTAGCTTCTAAATTTATTTTTAGTTATTTAACTGAGAGATCTCAGTCAGTAGTTATTGATAATAAATTTTCAAATTTTAAACTTCTGTTTTCTGGGGTTCCTCAAGGATCGATTCTTGGGCCATTGCTATTTTCGATCTATATTAATGACGTTTTCTCAGTATGTCAATTTTCGAGGCTACATGGATATGCCGATGATATACAAATGTATTATTCGTGTCGGAGTGATAATTTAAATGATATTGTCACAAAGATCAATATAGATTTAACATGCATACATCGCTGGGCGATTGAAAACAATATGCTGCTAAATGCAGATAAAACCATCATATTGCCGCTTAGTAGGTCTGAATTAAACTTAGACGAATTACCATCGGTAGCTATTGGAAACTCAATTATTAAATATAGTGCATCAGTTAAATGTCTAGGATTTAATTTGAATTCAAAGCTACATGCCTCTGATCATATCAATCATGTCGTTAGGAAATCATTTATTTGCCTCAGATATTTGAATTTATCTGCCAAGTATACCCCTGTCCATGTCCGTGGCTTATTGGTCAGACAACTAATATTGCCTATAATTACTTATGCCGCGTTGGTGTACTGTAAACTGGACTACGAGTCTCTTGCTAAACTGAGAACTGTAGTAAACTGTTGTACTAGATACGTCTACGGCCTTAAACGTTTTGATCATCTAACAGTTTATAGAAATGCTATACTGGGTTGTGACATTGAGCAGTATTTAAATATTCGAATCTGCCTATTTCTGTTCCAATTAAAAACTTCTAAATATCCTGAGTACCTTTATAATTGCTTGCAGCCTATGCGTTCCACAAGATCTCTTCTTTTCATAATTCCAAGATTTAATTTTGTTGCTACCACTAGGTTTTTCTTTATTCATTCAATTCGATTATGGAACGCATTACCAAGTTCAACCCGAAATGCATGTGATTTAAGAGTTTTTAAAAAGTTATTGTTAACTGAACTTATTTAATATATTATTTTTATTTTAAATTAAATGTTAATATTAGTTTAATTTTTATACTTCCTTTTTATTATATAATAATATCCAATTTGAAGTTATAGCAAAATTGTATTTTAACTCAATTTTATTATTTTCTACTATTTGTAATTTTCAAAATAAATTGTACTTGAATAAATATCTTGTTAGCTTTTAAGTTAGTTTTTAAGATAGTGCAATAAAAAGCATGTACTTAATGCACTTAATATTATAAATAAAAATAAAATAAATAAAACTACTGTACGATTAAAAACTTATTATGTAAACAGGCTGCAATAAGCGCGGCTGTTAGCTCTAACTTTGGTAAAGTGAGTTCGCTTTTTATTTTTAAAAAGACTTACTCTGTTTTTAGAACATATAAACCTTGCGAATAATTTACCACTAGACAAAATTTCTCGTACATATGCAAGAGATCCGTAAGCACTCGGGCACGCATCTGCAAATACATGTAGCTGAATTATTGAAAAATTTGACTTTACCAAGCATTGACTAATAGTAAAATATTTTAAATTATGTAAATCATCACACAATTTATTAAAATCATGCGTTAAGCTTTCAGGTAAAATAGAGTTCCAGTTTAAATTTTTTTCTTAAATATCATCTGCAATAGTGTTTTATTTTTACGGTAAATAGACTTTAAAATCTTAAGGAGTCATAAACTCCAGCCATAATTTTTAACACATTGCGTTTAGTTGGTCTTAAATTCCGAAAAATCTCTACACAGTGATCTAAATTTACAAATAAATTATCTTCATAAATGTTCCATAAAACGCCAAGCACCTTTTGTATCAGATGCTGATCTTCATTATTTTCTTCAAATTTTCATCGTAAGTCTTCGCTGTTGGAGGTATACTTCCGCTAATTAAAACCCCCTATTTTCTTTATTTTCATTGCAATGAGGTATAAGTATTAAGCTTCTTGAATAGTTGGTAGACTAGTTATTAAGTCTTCTACGTGAATTGAGTTTTTTAGGTTGTCACATATTAAACCATGTTGCTCCACATTGCTTTGCAGATGTTGCTGCATTGTCGACGCTAACAAAAAAGGACTAGATGTCACACCAAAATTTACCATTGCCATTCGATAAATTACAATTTCCGCTGGTTTGCTATCATCTCTTAAATTTTTATACCAGAGGAAACGATAACTATCTCAATGAATCTGATTTAATGAAATTTGTAAAAATGCTTTTTCTATATCTACACTCATTGCAATTTTGTGACAACGAAACTTTAGCAATATTAAAGTTAAGTCTGACAATAAGTTCTTACCTGAATCAAGCATATCATTAAGTGGTGCCATTCTTGGATAATAGCAATGGTGTTTAGGGCTTTCGGGTTAGGCTAAGGCCCCTATGCATTGCGACCAGTTTGATCTATTATGCACCCATTTGTATTTAGATATTTAGTATCTCGAGGAACCGAATCAATTCCTTCGGAGGGAGTTTTCGAAGGTCTTCATCCTCTAGTTAGTGTGCATCTAAAAGTTTGTTTCTTCTGTGGCCTAGTGTATCACAGTTGGTGATGAGAGTGACTTTGGACTCTTCTTATTTAGGTTAGGAGCATTATTTGCTCTTTTAGCATCAAAATTTAAGAATTTTGTGGAATGATATAGGCCGTCTATTCTATTCCAGTATTCATTGATGATTTGTTGGATCCATTCTTTGGTCTCCTGTTTTATGTTCGTTTTTTATGTTTTAGTTCTTCTGCCCCTTTCTTGGCATAAAGATTCGCGTTTACGTTGCCTTCATGTCCGGGTATCCAAAACAGAGAGACCTGGTTGTGGGTGGCTAGTTGGTTTCGTGCTTTGTTATGCTCTATAAGAACTTTTCATGTGAATGTATAGCTTTGTAGAGCTTTGAGAACTGATTAACTGTCTGAGAGTATATTCAGTTTAAGTCTCTTGAGTCCTCTTTGGAATAAGCTCTCCACAGTCTCCATTATAGGATAGAGTTCTGCATGAAAAATTGTGGAATCTGTGCTTGATTTGTGAGGTCTGGCTCCCACTATTCCTGCTCCAACACCTTGAAGCGTTTTGGATCCATGAGTATACCATTTTTGCGAATCGTCATGTAACCATGTTGGGTTGGCATTCTAATCCCTCCTTGAAATGAAGATGGTTCTATACCTCTTAGTGAAATTGAGTACTGGGTCTGTGTTTTCAATTGCCTGGGTCATATATGTAATGTTTTTCGCCCTGATAAGGATTTGTAGGTGTCCAGTGAAATTTCGTGGTTTGAATTTTTCTTTCATGTGTATGTTAGTGAGAGTGCTTGCATTGCAGCTTCCTCTTGTGTTGTTAGGTGTAGGGGTGGTAAATTTAGCAGTGCTTCCATGCCAGCAGTCGGGGTAGTTCTCATAGCCCCTCTGATATTTAGGCACGCCAGCCTCTGTAATTGACTCAGTTTAGATATAGCTGTAGTTTGTTTAGTTTTTCTCCACCACACCAATGCCTCATATAGTATGATGGGTCTAATCATTTGGGGCTTAGGTCTCAGGATTTTCCTAGAAGTTGTTTTGTGGTCCAAAGATTTTTCTTAGTCTTTCTAATTACTGAATTGAGGTGTACTTCCTAAGAGAGTTTTTTATCCAGCATAATTCCTAAATATTTTGCTTTTTCCTTAAGGGATGCCTCTAACTTGTTTATTGTTAGTGTGGGGATATCAAACAGCCTTTTCCTGGTAAATGGTATAATGGTTGTTTTGGTAGGATTAATGATAGTCCTTCTTTTCTACACCACTCCCATGTTGTATTAACAGCATAATGATTATTGATATATCATCTGCATATCCAATCGTTTTATACCCTTTGTTGTTGAGGATTTGTATTAGGTTGTCAGCTACTAAAGACCATAACAATTGTGAGAGTACTCCCCCTTGCGGGCACCCTTTTACTGCTGTAACACTAAGATTGATTTGTCCTATAGAGGCTGTAATCTTTCTTTGGTTTAGCATATTGCCTACCCATTTTACTATTGCTGGATTTGCTCCTCTGTTGAAGAGTGCTAGTTCTATTGTTTTAAAGTTTGCGTTATGAAGGCCCCTCAATGTCCATAAATGTACCAAGTGCTGCTTCCTTTAGATATAGGGCCTTTTCTATAATTTGTACAATTGTATGAAGTGCCGTGACTATAGATTTGCCTTTTTGGTATGCAAATTGTATCTTGTGTAGCGGATTGCTGGGTACAACTTCTCCTCTTAGATGGCAGTCGAGTATATTTTCCATGGTTTGAAGCATGAAAGACGTTAAACTGATTGGTTTGTAGGATTTAGGAGATTCAGGATGTTTATTTCCTCCCTTTGATAAGAATATTATCTTAACCTCTCACCATATATTTGGGACATATCCCAATGTTAAACCGGATCTAAAGTTATGAACCAAAATTCGTTGCAGTGTTACGGACGCTTTAGAGAGTAGGGCTGGGAATGCACCATCTGATCCCAGTGATTTGTAGAGTTTTAATGAATTTTTAGCCCATTGTACCCTCTCAAAGGTAACTATTTTGTTTAGGTATAATGGAGTTTCTAGTCCAATGGTTGTTGTGGACTAGCGCCTCGTGATCAATGTCAATGATTGCGTTGAGTCGACAATCAGGGAAATGAGTTACAAGAAGAAGCTCTAGTGTGTCAACAAAGGAATTTGTGAAGGTTCCGTGTGGTGTTTTTAGTGTACTAATTGGATGAGTAACCCCTTTGGAAAGTGACTTTTGTATTCTTACAGTATTCGGGACATCATTAAGTTCCTCACAGAAGTTTTTCCAAGAGTTCCTTTTTGATATCCTTAGTTCCTTGTTGTATGATGTTACGGATTTCCTATATTCTTCCCATGTATTATGTTTCTTTGCGTCGTTGAATTGTGATCTTGCTATTTTACGCAACTTGGCAAGTTCTCTATTCCACCAGGGAACCCTTTTTGTTGAGGGTTTTGTTTTGAGTGGGCTTCATTCGTGATATGATAATGTTATGGAGTTGATCATAATTAGGTTAGTTAGATTCTAGACAGTCTGGGTATTTCTTTCAGTTGGTTGTTCTAGGGCTTCTATAGGACATTAAGCCCTACTTAACCCCCTTATTTCAAAGAGTATATATTTATGTGACTATGTGATCAAATCAAGTGAGTTATTGGTTATGAATGACAAGTCAAGAACCTTTTACCGTGTAACGACCCTTTCTTGCAGTCGTTGCTTATTTGCTGAGGTATGCTCAGTCTCGCCAAAGTCGTCACAATAAATTTATAGATTGTGACCAAAATATTCAAAGTGCTGTGGTTTTATAATATAGGGAAACAAATTAACTTTTTATTTCAAGAATCAAGAAAATAAAATAAATATATATATATATATATATATATATATATATATATATATATATATAAACAAAATTTGGATATGAAGTTTTTCTTTCTTAAGGGGGAAAAATTAAAAATTAAATAAATAAATAGAGATGTCTTTTGAGAAGTTTCAGTGCTTGAATGTCCTTGGTAGAACTTTCTCCTTTCCCCTGGTGTTGTATTCTTCTGACTTTATCTAAGAGTATGGGAATTATTTCTTTCATATAAAATATCCTTATGTATTTTAATTTTAATTTTAGCAACTATTTTGGACACAGTCGACGTGAAACCACCTGTCGTATCTTAAGAGTTATTATACCTTGATTTCGATATATATTTCATATAAAATGTCGCTATGTATTTCAATTTTGGCAACTATTTTGGACACAGTCGACGTGAAACCACCTGTCGTGTCTTAAGAGTTATTATACCTTGATTTCGATATTTCTTTCATATAAAATATCCTTATGTATATAAACTCGACCGAGCTTTTGTGTAGCGTATCATTTTTATTTACAGCTGATCTCACATAATTCTTGTTGAATTTTGCCGTTCTGATTTTCTATTTCATGTTTTGTGCGGAACTCAGCTTGTGCATTTAACTTCTCTTTAAGCTTCTCTTACGGCGAATATTTTTGGCAGTTCTTGTTTTCTTATGTTAACGCTGCTTTGTTTTGATTCTTACAAAACGTGTTTTAAAACTACATTCGGTCGGTGGTGGTTTTTATTTATTTTGTTTGTTACGATAAATAAAATGCAAATATTCATCAAATTTAAAAAATAAAAATAAGAAATTTAATTATAATTATATTATTATATTAATATAATAATAATATTAATATTATATAATATTAATATTATATAATTATAAAATTTATTTAATTATATTTTTATATTTCATTTCAATATCATTTCAGATTAGTTTAAGGTATTATTAAGGCTTGCAAGCGGTTTGGGTTTTGGTAAATTGTTTTGAATAAATATTTTAAATATTAATTAATCTATTTAATTCCAGATATTTGCAACATTTATTATCAGTGAGTCTACTTTTTCCAAGTTTAAATATAAATATAAAAAGTGTGTCGTTTTAAAAAAAATTGTGTTGTATTGATATGCTTTAGTTCGTGTTGTTATTGTTTTTAGTGCACGTTTATATAGGTGAAAATGCTGTTTCAAACTGTTGACAGTTCGACAGTTTGAGTGATATTGATTTCTTTTTAAATTTTTTTTCAAATATTTCAAATTTCAAATATAATAAATTCAATTATAATAAATAAATATGAGCTGAAAGTATTGATGTGTTAGTTTTGTGCGAGTGCCAGATTCACCATCATATTGAATCATTGCAACCTGTTGAAGATGCACAACATAAATTCTTGCAAATATACTTCATGGGCAATATGATGGAACAACTTGAACGGCGTCAAGAGATCAACACTGCAATGAAAATAGCAATTCTTCAAGATCTGCATCAACTACTTCATGAACATCATGCATTAGTCAGGCTGTTCAAGACTGCGTTGGAGTGCATGCCACATGATAACTACAAAGTTGTGATCAGAGCGGTTAAACGACCAGCAGAAACACATGAATGCAAATTTAACGCTCCAACAATAGATGAAGTTGCAATCCTGATCGTTGGAGAAAACTTGACCACACGCGATATTGTGCTTACACGACCCGATACTGGGCAACTGCAATAAGTATGTGAAACACACCGTTCATATGACACGTTGCAATACCCACTGATATTTTGGCAAGAAGATGATGGATATCACTTCAATATAAAAATGATAAACCTATTGAATGGTGGGTATCAACATCATAGTTTTCAATTCAGAATACAGACGTGAGACTTACTTCTAAGATACTAATTTTACTTTTTTTAAATCAGGTGAGAAAACTACCAAGAAAATTAGTTCGTGTAATCCAAAATGGAAAGAAATTGTTCAAATGCTGCTTCCTGGACAGACATCAAGTGATCGGCACGACATCACTGCACGTGTATTCAAGCACAAAATTCGATCGCTGATGAATCTAAAATTAATTATAACATTCATTGACTTTTACGCGGTACGAAGTTCACGGGGTCACCCAATATTTTTATATAATAAAAAATATCTTTAATTAAAAAAAATGTATTCCTACCAAATATATTTTCAATTTAGAGAGGAATGCAATAAGAACACAAAACTATAATTCGTATAAAGCATAAATTAAATAAATAAATTATAAATTAATAATAAATTATAAATTTTAATTGATGCTTACCTGCATCCTACCGGCTGCGCCAAAATGTCGTGGTCCCATTGTATTTTGAATGAAACGCATGGTGTATGGTAGATATTATAATTTTTTTATTAATTGTTCATGCAACTCTAGTCGCTGTCGCTGCTTCTGCTCGCTCGTCTGTCACCGTAGTTCCGTTGCTGTGGTTGTTGCTGTAAATGGAGACTATTGTTGCTGTTGCTGATGATGTGTTGTTCATGATGTAGAGACTAACATTGTATGCTGTAGTTGGGCCCACGTTGTGTGCTGTAGTTGATACTGCTGCTGTTGTTGCAGTATTTCTGCAGTTAAACTTTCTCTTTAATTATTGTTCTCATATGTTCAATTGAGTTGTTATTGGTTTTAGCTTATATGTTGGCTTTACCAAATATTTTGCAGTTAAACTTTTTCTTTAATTATTATTCTCATATGTTTAATTTAGTTGTTATTGCTGTTTTGTAAATTTATTAAATTATTTCTTTAATTTAATAAAGTGTTACACGCATTTAAAAATATTATTTTATTATTACGTTTTTAGCTTAAATGTTGGCTTTACCAATTATTTTGCAGTTAGACTTTTTCTTTAATTATTATTCTCATATGTTCAATTTATATTAAATTCGCACACTATGGTAAGTACATACTACTGTATTCAGTTTATCAATTGTGTAATTAGCACAAGAAAAATGTTAGTTATAATTTTTATTATTTAATTCTATTAGCAACACATTTCATTAGCAAAGCAATTTTATTCACTTCAGTTCATTTATCACTCGATTCTAACACTCGAACCGCCGCGCTGAAAACAGCACTTGATCACTCTAGCTGGTTAAAACAGCGACTCTTCTTCCAATACTTCTGTACTTTCGTAACAGCTTCAAAAGGAACGTGTTTGCAGGTCACGTTTCGTAGTGTCAGCACATTGCTTTCTAGGATTATCCGGATATTATCGGAGATTTGTAAGGAATTATGCGGCAATAGCAAAGCCACTGACTGCATACCTCTGAGAAGAAAATGTCATATTGGAATCAAACAATCAAAAAATACTAAAATAAATTTAAATATGAATGCAGTAAAAGCATTTAATAAATTAAAGCAAATATTAGCTTCAGAGGATGAACTTCTACAGCATCCAGACTACGATAAAGCCTTCGAGCTTACCCCTGATGCACCATCAGTTGCTTTAGGTGCAGTATTGTCCCAAGAGGGTAGACCAATAACTCTAGAACCCTCTAGAACCCTAAGTGTGAAGAAAACTACGCTACAAATGAACGCGAACTACTAGCAATTGTTTGGGCTTTACAAACATTACGTCACTACTTATATGGTGTTGGAAACCTAAAAATCTTTACAGCTCATCAACCTCTCACATTTTCAATATCGGATAAGAATTTTAATTCAAAAATTAAAAGGTGGCGTGCATTTATAGATGAATTTTCCCAAAATTCTTCTATAAACCAGGGAAAGAAAACAAAGTAGCAGATGCCTTATCTATCAATATATTAATAATTTGACTTTAGACGAAATACAGTCCACAGTGAAGAATCCTCATCTGATATAATTAAAACAGTAAACACCCCTGTAAACCAATTTAAAAATCAACTAATTTTGTCCCATTACAATTCAAATAATAAAAACACTAAAATCCTATTAAAGAGATTTGTACGCCACACAATAAATTTTAAAAACACAGAATTTCTGTTAAATACAATCAAAGATAAAATAAACATAAATGTAATAAATGGTCTACACTGCGATCGAACAACTTTGGCAACAATTCAAAATATATTGAAAAGGGAATATTCAGGTGTTAAAACTTGTCATCGATTTGACTAATAGGGAGGATCAAATGGAGACAGCAACAACGGAGCACAACAGATGTCTCCACGAAAATCGTAAGCAAATAATGGAAGAATACTACTTCTCAAAAATGAAAACGATTCTCAAAACTATTATCGCAAATTGCAAGATATGCCATGAAAAGAAGTACCAAAGAAAACCACCAAACGAGTTATTGGTGAAACTCCAATACCAAATTATCCCAAAGAAATACTCCATATAGATATTTTAATAATAAATAAGTCGTACTTTTTAACAAGTATCGATAAACAGACAAAATTTGCAATAGTTACACCGATAGTGTCAAGAACAACATCGAATATTAAATTAGATCTGTTACAAATTTTAAATAAATATAAAAAAACCCGGCTTTTCGTTTCGTTTTCACGCAATTTTCCTACCAACACTCCATAGCGAAAACAACAGCCAAGTTGAACGATCACATTCAACGTTATTGGAAATTGCTAGATGTTGTAAGGCTCAGCAGCAAATAGCTGATATAATCGAGCTCATACTACTAGCCACTATTAAATACAATAACACCGTACATTCTGTAACAGATTCCAAACCGGTTGATTTGCTTGACTCTAAAGATAGTAAAACAACTTCAAAAGTTAAAGAAAAAATTATAGAATCTCAAGAAAAACTACTAAGGAGAGCTAATAGAGATATACATCGTACAATCTATAAACCGGGAGACGTAGTCTATATAAAAAGAAATAAACGATTAGGTAACAAGTTTAATAAAATTTTTGAGGAAGGGACTGTCGAATGAGACCTAGGCACTGCTGTCCTAATCAATAGCAGAAAAATTCATAAAAATAATATGGGATGATTATTTTCTTTTGTTTTTTTTATTAGGCTATGTTACTACTATTTTGTAAATTTGCAACATCAAGGATTATAAACTACACACCAGCACATTTCATAGCGGTCACCCATGGAAACGCCGCAATATATGAAAACTATTTTTACCTGGTACACTCAACCAACTTATCAGAATATGAAGAAATGGTTATGGACGACACAAATTCTTTTTATCACGACGTCTACAGTAGAAATATCCTGGTAAAGCAAACACAGGAAATTCAACGAATCATAAAGACATTGTGGACCACACGTCGATTTGCAAGATCGATCGACTTTATTGGATCAGCGGTAAAATTCGTAGCAGGAACCCCGGATCATGACGATTTCCAATTGTTATTAACCAAACAAAATATGCTTATAGAAAATAATAATAGACAGACAAACATTAACTCTGTAATACAGAACCAAATTAGCGAACTCTCAAACAGAATAAATGACTTAAAGTCAGCAAAAAATTCTGATAATTCTATCTCGAAAGAGGAAGAAATTCTAAAACAATATATTATAAATAGAAATAATTATGTTATCAATCATTTAGATAATTTAACTCTTTCTGTGGTCTTGGCAAAAAGTAATATGAATTATCCACTTATCTTAGATAATGTTGAAATAAATGATCTGATTGACTCTGAAAATGTACCACTTAGTTTAAATAACATCTTAAGTGTATCCAAAGTAAAAGTTTTACAAAATAATGAAATCCTTTTATATGTAATAAAAATTCCTAAAATAAATAAATATTGTAATTGAAGACGTTCATAAATTTAATATATCGGGTACATTCCTGATAACATTCGAAAACGAAATTACCATAAACGGAACAAAATACAAATTTAAGTTGAAAAATTTTTTCAGCTATCAGACAAACCACAATAAAACGCTTTTATTTAAAAATTTTAGAAGCAGATATTTCGTTCTTTATTTTAGAACATCTTCAGTGCTATAATAATTATACAAAAAAACTTATAAAAGTTACACATTACAATTAAAAAATTACCTTAAGTTTTTATTAAAAAGCTTAATTTAAGGTTTATAAAATTACAATTAAAAACAATATATACGTAAAGTAACATATATATAAAATGACACTATTAAAGGCACAAATATTAAATTAACAATAATTATTTTTGTTTTTAACATCACATATGTTCGATATCAGACAATAATAAACATAGAAACAAAAATAAGGAAAATGGAATTATAAAATCTATTTTGTTATGTCAAAAACTTTAGTACAACTTATATAGTTGTCTTTGTTTAATAAATTCAAAAAATATGATATACATTATTATTATTTCTCTTAAAACATCTCAGAATCAATATCAAACGGTCAAATTATTTTCTTTCTTCTTTTTGTTTTCTTTTAACCGATATTTGTCAAGTATATTAGAATAAAGAGCACTGAAATTCTCTGTGTCTTTTTTAAAATTCACCACCTGGTTGTAATTTAATATAATGTGTATGACTTCAGCTAGTACTCTTTTTTGGTAATTATTTTCAATTTCAAGAATAGAAGCATCTTCGAAATTGATAGTATGTTTAGCTGAATGATGATGTTCAGATAAGACTGTTTTTTTATAATCATCAGTGCGTCTGCACGTACTTTTATGCTCACTTAACCTTTTTGATAATTTTTGTTTCGTCATTCCTATATAAGATTTATTGCAATCATTACAATTAATCTTATATATGTTAACCTACATCCGAAACGCACAATTGGGCACCT